GAAGGTGAAACCTTTAGAGGGAATTACGGGCTAGAACCGGCTGCTCAGTTCACAGACTCCACTAACTTATCCCAAAAAAAGAAAAGCAGGTTGCCCGTATTTGATGAAGGAAATAACGAGTTTTGAAAGAATGGTAGATTAGAATTTTGGGTTGTCTTTGTTGTCAACTATTTGTATTACAGAAATATTTTACAAATTTTGAATTGTAAAAAAAAGGACTTATGAAAACGACATCAACTCGATCTAACGAGCGACTACTAACTAGTTTTATCTCTATTTCCGCTCATTATCGTTTGAGAATTTCTTTATGATCCGTTATTGTCTTTTCGAATGTATAATTTCATTCTTTTTCTTTACTTGGCCACAATAAATGTACTTATACATGAAGTAGACTAATATTCATATGTCTGAGACTTGTATGCACATAATAGATTATATATATATCTATCTTCATTAATATTTTAAAAAATTTATATATATGTATCTATATATATAACTATGTATATCTATATTTATATATATATATATATATATATATATATATATATATATATATTTTGTTTTAAAAGAACTCTAAAAATATAATATTTACTTTTATATATATATATATATATATATATATATATATATATATATATATATAGATAGATAGATATAGATAGATAGATATATATTTTGTTTAAAATGTAAAAGAGAGGTAATAATTCTTCCCACATACACAAATAATTACCTAATAGAACTGATTTCGTAATATAAGACAAATTCCTAATTACTAACGGATACAATTGACAGTGAGTTTGTTATTTCCCTCCGGTAGTTTCTTTCAACGCATAGGGCACCGTTCGCTGCGCAATTGATACGACACCGTCCCCTACCCAATTTCTTCCATTAACACACCCCGTTCTGGAAACCCTAAAAGTTCTTCGTCTAGAGGAAGATAATTTTCTAGGTTTCTACCGCCTCTCTGTGGATTCTTGCACATCGGCTGCTTATTACGAGGTGATTCAGTTTTTTCATGTTTCCATATATCTACTTTTTTATGTGATGAGTGAAGCGTACTTGTATGTATCTTTTCTGGAATATTTTTTATTTGTTGTGTGCAATTTAATTAATCAGGGGCATCTGTTTGCTTATATATATATTTTACGATTGCTACCCTGACCACTAAATCGTAAGGGTTTTGGGGGTTCTGAATTCAGTGATAATTATATTACTCGTCCTCTTGTTATTCTCTTTGGGCGCAAGGCTAGGGTTTCGGTTTCTGACAATTTCTAACCACCTAAGGCTGTATTTGTTTCATTTTTGTCTAATTAGCAATAATATATGTGGCCTTTCTTTCTTTGTATATTTTGAATTGGGATCCTAATATTAAAGATAATTATGTTATCATGTTTTGACAACTCAAGCGTATTTTGAATTGTGTACTGTCTTTACTTGTTGGCCCAAGGGATTTCGCCTTTTGGTGCATGTATAAAAAAATATATATATTTTATTCAAAAGAATTACGGGATGGGCCTGTTAGGATAGTAGACGGAAAGCCTTGCTTTTTATCTACATGAACTATTTAATTTTGAATAAAGTTTAGTCAATTCAGTCATTTATGAGAATCAATGCATGTGTGTTTCTAGTACCTTTAATTAGATATTGATCAATTGTCAATTAATTAAAAGTACAAGTCTATTATTCTAAGAGTATTCGAAATGGTGTGCTACGGCGTACAGAAAGATCATTTCGAAAGTTCGTTTAGAATATAAAGTTTAAACGAACGTTCACAATCTAGATGGAATTGGACTAACCATTGGTAAATGATTGTAGCACAATATTTTAGTGATTGGTCTTGATCACGGTAAACAGATGATAACTTTTGTAGTTATCGTTTTAACTTATTGTGCTAGCACACCCGACATGTGTTGAACAGGACGAAGTGAAATATTTGTTTCATCGCTGATTAAATATGAAACTATATTATTTCTAGGTTTACGAGAAATTACTTAACCTCTTAATCCCTAGATAATCAACGTACACGTTTAATTGGTGATCTCTACTTTGATGTCACAATGGGAGAGATTCCTATATTGAGTCAAATGAGCCCTAGTGCGTTGGGCAGAGACACAAAGAATTAATAGGTGGAAATTGATTATCGAAAGGAATTCGCATCTCTGAAATATGGGATTGAATAATGATGACCCTTGAGTAGCTTATGAGTTTTGTTTATGTCAGAAACTCGGCCGAGTGGATTTCGTATCCGACATACACAAACAAGTTAAGTGGGAATGACTCAAGATAGTATGTGAAGCTAATTTATTTTTCAATGAATAAATTAATTGGTGGTCATTTGATCTTCTTAATGAGAGGAGAAATTAAGTAATGATAAACGGGAGCTCGAAATCTAATTTTGAGAATACAATCGGGAGTCAATAATTGTTTGGTAGTGGAAAATAAATAATTATTTAATATTTAATTAAATGAATTCTTTTTAGAATTTGGATTTAATTAATTGTTAAATAGCCCGTATTGTCTTTTTTCCTTTATTCCCTATTGTAGACCAATGAATATTTCTAATTAATTGAGAAAATAGAATTAAATCAAGTAAACAAGGTGAAAGATAAATTGAAAAATTATTTGGCTAATTTTAGCCTATGATTTTCGGCCCACTATGGTAGAGTTGGAGGAAGATTTAATTCTTCAATCCTTCTCCTAGTGTAACTCTTTATAGACCCTTATATATAGGTAGGGGTGGGTTTTTTTTACCAAATTGCCCTACCAACCCGATGCCCTACCGTACCGTACCAATTCTCTACCGAAAAATCTCTACCGAATTATTACCGTACCCTACCGTACCCTACCGAAATGTTTTGGTAGGGCAACGGCATTTAAGATTATTAAAATGGTAATGCCCTACCGTACCGAAATATTATTAATAAATAAAATTTTATTTTAATAATTCAATTTATTATATATAATTGATGTTAAAAATTCTTATGTTATAATTTTATTTAAGAAATATTTTACGTGAGGTAAATTTAGAACATATATTAGGACACTTATATTTAAAAAATTAGTTTTGTACATTTTAAACATGTATACCTTGAATTGCTTTGAAAAAAATGATATTCACTTTAGACTTAAATAATAGATAATATAAATTGGTAATTACCATTACCATACCCTACCGTACCGAACTTTTGGTATACCGAAATCGGTATACCGAAGTTTTTGGTAGGGCAATGGTAATGGATTTCATAATACCGAAATTTCGGTATTGGTAGTGATTCGAGGGGTTTGGTACGGTTGCCCTACCAAACCCACCCCTATATATAGGTACTTGATCGAAGATAAAAATAACTTGTTCCATAATATAGGAGTAGCCGATTTTTGCTAGACAAATAAACAAAAAATATTTTCTCTTCTCTTTCATTATTTTCTTAGATTATAGATTTAGATATTTTTTTAGGTACGATCCCACAATCGTAGATAAATTAATTCGGGATATACTTATAGGGCTAAACATAAATCACGAATTTTCTTAACAATCCTGCGAAGAAAATCACCATAAATCAACCGTTAGTCGGATAGGCACGAAATTTATACAGTAGCTTCCTAACCCTTAGATCTACAATCCGTCCGAAGGGTTCCTCGATCGGATCAACGGTCGCAGAGATATCGGTGAAGGAAGAGAACTGGAATTTCTGGACAACAGCTCTTCGAAGGTTGAAGTTCGAAGGTTGAAGACTTGACGTGGATCCTCGTTCGTGCGCCGAAGATAGTTTGGATCTACTCTTCGAAACGTAAGTCCATAGATTAGATTTATATTCCACTTTAATTAACTCAAATCTATGCGTGCTAATTAAGATTTAAAAATCGGCTAATCTAGAACCTCATACGAATTTTCATTGGCTCATGGGCTTCACATTCCAACAGGGGCCAGGTAGTGGGCTGCATTTCACTAGCCCAACCTATATTACTATAGAAAATTTCATTAGCCCAGCCCAACCCATAAACTATTTTTGGGCTTGAATTTTTTGGTTGATGCCCAAAATTAGAGTCATACAAAAAAGCCCACGTTGTTTAAATATTCTACTTGTCCTAATCTATATATAATATAAAAAGAGGATCTATGCCCTCAATGAATGACATGTGGCAAATGATAATGTCATTTGTCAAAATTGCTTAGTTGGAGTTCAATTGATTAGGTGGATTCTTCAATTGATTAGGTGACATTTTTATTTATGGATGTTTTTAAGTTTTTTCCTATTTTACATTTACACAATCATTTAATAATTACCACATGTATATATATTATTTCCAAAGTTAATATTTTATAAATTCGAAATAAAACATCTTATTTATATTTTCAGTATTTCAAAATATATTTATTCAAATAAATTCATGAAACTCAATTTTTTTACGAATATTCACATAATTTTCATAAAAAAAATATTTTTTTAAAATACTAAAATATTAAAATAAAGGAATATGTTTTTTTTTTTTAATTTTCAATATTTTAGAATATTCGAATATCCATTCCATTAAAAATAATAATAATAAATGGTTTAGTTTTTAATTGAAGTATTTAATAAATATACACTATTGTTTTATATAATTTTTATTATACCATATTTCCAATTAAAAATAATTATATTATTTAATAAATATTGAATGCACGGTGGATTAATTCTAAATGATATAAGGTCGTTGTATATTTGGAAAACCTTATTTAATATATAATAATATGGTCCGAACTATAGAACGGATTATGCAAACTATTTATTAATTATTATTTCAAATAAAATATCAAATCACCAATATAAATAAATCTTTAATATTCCAAGATTCCATGATATCATCTTTCTTTGATTTAATTTATACTTTAATTCAAAATTGAATGGTAAAAAATAAAAATCGTATCTTCATATTTAATGTTTTTATATTGCAAGATTTTTTTTCCACAAGTTATTTTTTTTGGGTTGTTTCCTTTATTTGTTTGATTTGATTTCATTTACTAATATATAAATCTTTTGAATTTTTAATTTTTCCATAAAATTAAGTTCATTTTCAATACTATATAAACCCCTCAATGTTCGTTTCATTTTTTTCTACCACCATTCGATTGCAAACAAATTTAGCATTTTTTACTAACATTGTATACGTTTTTTACAGATATCATCGGTTATATCGTTGGAAAAGGTGAAATCGAACCCTTCCTCACAAAAGAAGGCGTTCAAAAAAAGAAACTTCTGATAGAACTCCAAGATCTCGAGTATGTACTTATTGAACACACTTCTTATTTTTGTTTGTCAATTTTATTTACAATATGTTAGTATTTATAAATAATATCGAATTCATTTGTTTTATTTCTTAACAGTGGTAATAAGATTAGATGCATGTTGTGGGAGAAATGTGTTGAGCAAGTGATTGAAACCGTACTAGATATTAATGAAGGACCATATATTGCCGTGTTACAATACGCAACCGCGCAAATGCGATATGGTATTCTTCATATTTTTACTTGCTTTAAACATTTTATTGAATTCTTCATATTTTTACTTGCTTTAAACATTGTATTGAATACATTTGTACTATACGTTAGGATTTAATTTTAATCATTTTTCAGGTGACATTGAGGTCTCCAATACTTTGCATTCTTCCCGGTTTATGATAAATGCAAACATTGACGAAATCAATGACTACAAATCAAGGTTTGTTTAAACATAAATCTCTGTGTATATTTTTTATTTTATATAAATCCACCTTATTAATCCAACCTTGAGTGTTTTTACAGACTCACTCAAAGCGAGCCAGATAGTTGTCGAGTCGTAAGTCAAATGTCATCAAATTCTTCGTACTCATATGAGGACGACTTTGTTCATAAGTCTATTATAAAACTTTGGATGACTTAAATGA